ATTTTTCTTCCTTTGTTTATATTTCTTTACCTAATTTTGTCTCTGACACTACTATTTGATTTTCACAATCATTTTTAGCTCTTCCAGGAATTTTGTTAGGTTTGTGACTGTCAGACTGTTATCTGTCTCTATTTTTCTCCCTGGATGTGTCTCTCTCCTCTCTTTCTTTCTTTTTATTTTTAGGCAATTGGGGTTAAGTGACTTGCCTAGGGTCACACAGCTAGTAAGTGTCAAGTGTTTGGTCTGAGATCGGATTTGAACTCAGGTCCTCCTGACTTCAGGGCCCGTGCTCTATCCACGGCACTACCAAACTGCCCCCTCTTTCTTTTTTTTTCCTCCTTATTTATATCCCTCTTATGAACTGTTAGCCCTATTCATATCTTTTCTTCCTTCTGAATGTGTCTTTCTTGCCTGATCATAATTTGTATGTGATTCATTATTAGAGATTATTAATATTAAAACTGAGTCCTAAAGCAAAGGAATTATTTGTCTAAATTAATTCTTTTTGATGAAAAATAATTTACATATTTGTCTATGAACTAAGCTTTCTAAATATGATTAAAGTCTATTACTGCTGTGAACTAAATTTACATACTTGCTTTGAAAGCAAGACTTGAAAGAATATTGTTAAGTACAATCTGACAAAATTCACCTATTCTAAAGCCATAAGACCCTGTGTTCATGACATTTAGTATTAAAAAAAATTTCTGTAGGAGCAGTGTCATTATCAGGACTATATATTATCTCCAAGCTCACTTTAAATGCTCACACTTAGTTTTTTCTTCATTGAGAACATTATGGGTATGTGACACTAGGCCACTCAACTCTATGTTCTGCTGTGGGAGAATGGCCAACAAGTTCTTAGGGCATACAAAATATATCTTGCCTTTCTGCAATTTTTTTGCATGTTTGGCCAACCTGTTTCTAAGCATATATAGTGACATGAGGTCCCTCCCTTCTCACTTCACAGCATGGTGATTATGGTGAAAAAAAAACTGTCTTAATCAGCTACTAAGCTAGAACTGAAGGTGAAAACAAGAGGTTTGCAGAAACTGTCTTTGTCTTCCCTTCAAGTAACAAACAACTTCTGTGGGCCTATGGGTTCATGGGTGGTGAGGGACACTGGGACCTATTTGCTGCTAGCCCCAGTGGGTCTCAGAATGCATTGCACTTTGGTTTCTTTTTCAAGGTTTTTTATTCTTTCTTGATCTTAGGTGAATCCATATATAAAGACAGAAAAGACCACGTTATTACCTTGTGAGCTACAAAAGGTCAGGAGAACTACAAAATTCCCAGCAATCGGAGTATGTATTAGATTCTGCCTGTAGCTTCAGCAATTGAGTCTTCAGAGGAGCCAGACTTGAGTGATTTGCTTCAGCCAGCCCAGAAAGGAGTAAATTCAGCCGAGCAAAGAGGTTCATGTATTGATTACTCCTCTCCCCAAGGTGAAGTTGGTGGGTACTCAAATAAGGTAGAAAGAGAACAGCAGGTCTGGGAAGCCTTCCCCCTACCCAATTCCATGTGAGGAGGGACAGCTTGTACCCACTACTTTACATTTGGTACCATTATTCCCAAGCAGGCAAAATTAGGTAGAGCAATTCAAATCCAGCTTCAGATATTTATTAGTTGTGTGACCTTCAGCAAGTCATAATCTCTGCTTCAGTTTCAGTTTCTTCACTGTAAAATGCGGACAACAATATCACTTACCTCTCGAGATCATCCTCAGATCAGATGAGATATCTGTAGAGCACTTAGCCCATTCCTGGCACACAGGACGTACCTAATAAATGTTTGTTCCTTCCCTTCCCCTCCCCACCCCTAGAAACTCAGTGTATATAGAGCAAAAAGAGCACCTCCAGGTAGGGGGGTATATTTTTCTACTTCTTTCCTTGCTCTACCGTCTCTATATATTTCCTTTTTTTAACAGCTAATCAATATTAGTTGGTAATTGATATTGGGAAAACATCAACTGCTTACTTTGAAATGAAGGAGGTCACCAGATGGGGGCTCCCAGTGACAGTACTAGAATACCCAAACCGTCTGGGGACCCAACTTGCCAATGCTAGTGAGGATAAGGAGGAGCCCAGTGGGGATTCTACACAACCATTCCTCTAAATTTCTCAGTGTCATACCCTAATTCCTCTTTATGAGTGTTTGCAGAAGTATCCATCCCTTTGCCCCACTAAGGCCAATTTGTGAACTGGATTCTATTCTTTCTTGCCTCCTTCAGGTTCTAGTTTCAACTACTCTGGACAGGATTACTCCCAAATCAGTATCTGTTTCCCTGAATTCTCTTTTGAGCCCCAGATCCACATCTCTGATGGCCTCATGTTTGTCCTTTATTTCCCACCAGCACTTTAAATCCAATAATTCCAAAACTTAACATCTCATCATTCCCCCAAACCTTCTCCTCCTTCTGACTTTCCTATTTCTTCCTGATTCACCACTTCTCATCATGTCCCTCACATTTACAACCTTGGTATTATATTTGGCTCTTCCTTCCCCCTCACCACTCATGTTCAAAAAACAGGAGGCAATAGTGTTTGTGGAAGGAGAGCTGTCTCTGACACCAGAGGACCTGGGTTCAAATTCACTCCTGACCCTACCTTTGTGACCTTAGCCAAGTCACTCTTTGAACTGTACTTTCTTCATTTCTTAAATGGAGGGTCTGGATTACATGGCGTCTCAACTCCCTTCCACCTATAAATCTAAGAACTTATGATCCTGTTCATTCAATCTCCGCAGCATTCCTTAACTTTGTTCCCCGTCCTCTCTATTCCCCCCACATTCTTTAAAGCACAGCTCACAGGCCATGACCTTTATGTGACCTTCTGACATTCATCTGTCTATAAACGATCTTTTTGCTCGGATCACATGTAATACTTTATTCTGAAATGGGTATACATTTATAATGTAATGTTATATGTTATAATGAGCTGTGTTTGTTTCTTATCATTCTGTAAATCCCATGAAGTCAAGAATCGTATGTTATCTATACTTTGTATTTCACCCAGGACCCCTGCGCCCTAGGCACAATGTGCACCTTATAAATGTTTGCTATTATTTATAGGTAGGTAGATATAGATATGCAGATTATACATGCATGGATTTGTGTATTCTTCCTTGCATTCTCCCATAAAGTCTAGCATCATGCTATGCATATTGGAGAATTAGAGAATAATAGTATATAGGGGGTAGTATGGGCAGCCAGACTCTGACCTATCCTACTTCCTTAACCAAGGATGTATTTATAATGACATGCAAAAATGATCAGCTAAGTAGAAAGTTCCGCATACACCCTGGATTACTTTATAATGTGTGGTGGAAAAAGCAAAACTAAAACAAACAAACAAACAAAAAAGGAACTTCCTGAGTGAATTAGAAAGGGACCTGGTCAATTTGTTAAGCCAAAAATTGTCTTTGTCTCATTTTTAGGGACAACTGTAGACAAAGTTTGATGGAGAGTTCATCATTTCTAGAGAGGTGTAGATACAGGCGAGATGTAGCTCTCGGGAAGAAGAGATACATTTCAGTATGGAGAGAAAAATGTAAAGTGTATTCCCAGCAGGAAGTAATTTTAAGGAATGAGACATCAGACAGCAGAGAAGAAAGCTGTAGAGGAGTAGACCCCTGCACCTCTGCTGAATGACCAAAGTGATAAGGAGAGAAAAGGCTTATGGCCCTGCAGTAACATATGTGGAACTTGCCTTGGCCACAGGAGTTCCTTACATGTATGACTCACTACCATTAAACTTAGGTTTCTGTCCACTTTTCTCAAAGATCATATGTGTATTGGAGGAGGAGGGAGCCCCAAGGTTAGGGGGAAAGAGTTTTATATGAATGAATTAAAGGGGGAAAGAGCATTTTTAAGTGCTATGTATAATTTAGTGTACTAAGCCCTAGGGATACATATGGAAAAGCAAGACAGTCTGCTCTCAAGAAGCTTGGGTTGTAGTTGAGTGGGGCTAGAAGGGATGAGAGAGGCAACAGATATAGATTTTAGATGGCAAGGTCCAAGAGTCTCTAGGGTGCAGTTATAAAGAAAGTAATGAATACTACTTAATGTTACTTGTGGCATAGTAGCTGGAGCACTAAAGTCAAGAAGACAAGAATACAAATTACACCTTTGAGACTTAATAGTCTTGACACTTACTGGTCTTGTGTCCATAGGGAAGTCATTGAAGCCTTGTGAGCCTCAGTTTTCTAATGTGTTAAATGGGATAATAGCACCTCATAAAGATTTTTTTGTGAGAATCAAATAATTTAAATCAACTGCTTTGAAAAATTTAAAGTGCTATGGAGATATAATCTGTTCTCACTATTATTATTCATCCAATATTTGAGGTTTAATTATTTCATTGGTGAAAGAACTAACTGCAGGAATATACCTTGCAGCCCAGCTATACCTGAACAATCGATCCATGTTCATGCGCTGGCTGTGGTGGAATAGATTCCATACCTGGTTTCAACCTTTTTTTTTTTTGATGAGTCTCTCCAAATATGCCTTGGTTCTCGGATGACAGACATAAACACATGCACACAGAGCTAATCACGAGGCCTAAATGTGTTGTCTTTCCAGATCTTTAACATGTACCTAATGGTGTATTCCTTTGGCCTAATCTTTGAGGACACAGGGTCATTTCTATGACATGATGAGGAATCCAAGTGGGATATATGGCCTTAGAGATCAACAACTATTCATGGAATTGATGATTAAACAGATTAGGAATAAATGATTTCAAAAGTAAGTTTGGTCTTGTGAAAGTTTGTTGTTGTTGTTGCTGTTAGTATATGTGAAGGTTAATGCTGTTTAAGTAACTTGTCATCTTAATTTAAATAGTACATGGCCAAGGAATAGCATATCCATACCCATGACCCATTATTTTGAATTTGCACTCAAGAATTATTTCTTTTTCTGCCTTGCATACCCCCTGCAATAAGTGTCGAGTTTGAGCACCGAAAGTATGAAATCTTGCTCAAAGAAAATAGATGAGTCAATGTTTTCTAGGTAGCAGGTCTTTGCTCAAGCCCCTTTTAATCAAGTTAACAAATCTTAAAAGGGAACTGTTGTTGCTACTGTTAGGGAAAGGGGTAAACTGGGAGGTGAAGTATGACGATCTGAACCCGCTGATGGGCTACATTGCTGCTGGAGATACTTCCTCATTTGTATCTGTGACCTTGACCTTACTTTAATTTTACCGCAAAACATCTGTGAACACAAGGGAGAAATTATAAAAGTAGTCATTCTTTTGTTCATTATTCACTCGTTCTTTCAGAATGAGCATAACACTATGCTCAGTTATGTGATGAGAAGGGTATACAATGGACAAAAAAGAGTCCCTGCCCATCATGCAGCTGTTTCTAATAAAGAACACCCGCATATTGAGAAAATTAGAAGCACTATTCCCACTGCTACCTCATCTATGCTGACTTTTCCATTCCCCAAGTGGAAGGACCAACATCAAGGCAATTGAATAGGATAGTAATCTCTGCTCCTAGCCATTAGCTTGCCAAGACTCACTTAATTGTTGTTTTGATATTTTATACAGACACACACACACACACACACATAAACAAATATAACATATACAAAATGTGTCTCATATGTATATCCACGCTCCATATACATATATGTGTATATGTATATATATTTGGTATAGGTAATGTCTTTTGATTCCTGTGTAAATTGGATTTAAGTGAGGCAGAGTTGCATGAAGTTGTCTACCTCACTGTCTCCTCCAGAGTCATCATAGACCAGTGGCAGGACAGAATCAAGACAACTGGTGATGGCTCAAGATGCAGTGGATGACCTTAGTGTCTCTGATGTCTAACCAAGCTCTAAGCACTCCACAGCACCTGTTTCAGATGCCTTCATGGCCATTGGAACAAATTGTTCTCATCTGCCCATTCTACCAGGGGAAGTCTTCACATGCTTGGGGTAGACACCTCCCCAACTTACCAATGGGTGTAAGACCCCTTGGTTACTCTCAACCTGGTTTAGCCCATTTTCTGAAATATTCACAGGGTGTGACTGGTGCACATGCTACAGCTTCTTAGAGCTACAGGTAAGGGTTAGGTAGAACAAGTGAATACCAAATATGGAAAGCAGCCCTAAAAAGGGCTTGACAGCCATCATACCAGAGGTACTTGTCTTCCCTGAACATACACGACACCCACAAATTATATGTTTATGTATATATATATATTATATACATATGAGAATATTATATATAATATTATATGTATATATATATATATATATATATATATATATATATATAATTATCTCTCTCTGCTTTTAAAACTCTAATTCATTTTTATTCAAGTTTCCTGGTGACATGAATAGGAAAGGCATCCCAGAAAATATGTGAAAAATCAAACAATGTATTTTTCTCACAAATCTGAAAGTTTATTTCCCCTACTCTAAGCAAGGGTGCTCTAGGTGCTAGCTACCTCTGTTCTGTATCCTGAACCCCATACAAACATCCTCTACTATGGTTACTGTCCTGAGTCACTTTCTTTTTAAAATTCATCATGTTAACAGAATCTCCCTCCTTGATCAGCTCAATCTTAATTTTTCTTGGTTTGATATGATTATTAATCTTCCTGCTTAAAAAACAAAACAAAACAAAAAACTTTTTGAGTTTTTCTTCAAGACATTACAGGTCTTATTATTCAGTAATAGAAATAATAACAGTATTAGTAATATGATAGTAGCGATAGTGATTGTTCAATATCCATATAACGGAGTAAATAGCTTGCTGAATTTAGAGAAAGGAAGACCAGTTCACATTCATTTCAGACACTTACTAGTCCCTGTGCAAGTCGCTAAGTCTCTTTTAGCCTTAGTTTCTTATGCCTTACAGAGCTTCTTCTGGGAAGAATGAAATAATGTAAGTATTGGCAAACCTAGGATCACAATATAAGTGATAATTATAACAATAACAATAGCAGTTTTTACCTAGTATTTTAAAGTTTTCGAAGTGCTTTATGTGTGATATTTCCTTTGATTCTCCCAACAATCTGGAAATGGGCATCATTATTATTTCCATTTATAGCTAAGGAACCTTAAGTTCAGGGAGGTTCAGTGACTTGCCAAGGTTCAGAGAGTTTATAAGTGACAATCACAGAATTCCCCCCTAGATTCTCCTTACTTGAAGGCTAGCAGCACTCTGGTCTTTCACTAAGCTTTTTATTATTGTCTATGTCAAATGCAAAACAGGAAAGATTTTCCCTGGTATGGTCATTATCATCATCAGGTTTGTTGTGTTGTTGTTGTTTGTTTGTTTTTTGGCTAGGCAATGGGGTTAAGTGACTTGCCCAGGGTCACACAATGTTATGTCTCTGAGGCTAGATTTGAACTCAGGTCTTCCTGAATCCAGGGCCGGTGCTCTATCAACTGCACCACCTAGCTGCCCCCATATCGCTGGGTTTTTACTACATAGTCAAACACACATTGCACTGTGTTAGACTTCAAGGACATGTGGAATCCCAACAAATCTCTCATTGGATAAGGTTACATTTATACATACCTCATAGAAATGAACTACAGGAAGTTCTCACTTTACAAAAGTAGACCCTTCAGTGGACCTCTAGGTAAAACTGCAAATTTGCTAGTGGAGGTGGGGAAGGGAAGGAGAGAGAGGACTCAGTTCAATGACATGAGGGTGGGGGTGGGAGTAGGGGTGGGGGCAGGGACAAAGGAGAATGTGAGAAGGAACAGATGGGGGTGGGGCCATACACGTGGGGGTTAGAAGAGGGAGGAAGAACACAGACGGATTGGGGTATGCAGACAACAGGTGACCAGACTGGAGACAGACACGTGGTAGCAAAGCCCAGATGGACCTAAGACAGACACCAGGAGCTGGACATGCAGGTGGGTGGGCAGAGGTCTCCTCCCTCTTAGGCAGAGGTCTCATTTGGGGGATTATTTATTTATTTGTTTGTTTGCTTGTTTGTATGTTTAGTGTTTGGGTGTGGGGTAGGGATGGGAAGCCTTGGATCCCCACTCACCCGCCCACCCTGCCATTCTGAGAGGCAGCAGTAGAGAGAGAGCACAATACTGTACAGTGAAGTCAAAATAGCTAGTTTTTTAGGATGTGGATTTCTTTCAGAATTTTTTACACAATGTAGAATTTGTATACTATTAATTCACTTAAAGCAAGAACTGTCTGTACATAGCATGAGTTTTTCTTCCTCCTTAATATCCACATAACTATTCCCTCTGACTCAGATGTGCCAAGAAGCAATCAGTAATTCACAAATAATAATAGAGTAATAGAACTACCACTCTAGAGTGTTTGTTGTTGTTGTTGTTGTTTAATCCAATTAAATCAGATTCAAATGTATCAAAACATCTTTCAGGGACTCCTTAAAGAGACTTACATCACCAACCTAAAACAATCGGCGTATTAAAGAATCGTAATGTTCCTACAGAGAGTTAGAAAATTACTGGGCAGGGATGGAGTGGTCTCTCCATGGCCCTGAACTGAGGAAGGAAAAAAGGATGGGTATTTTCTATGACTCCTTTCCAGGCCCAGACAAAGAAGTTCATTATTTTCTGATGGGCTTTATTTATGAGTCTGAAGCTGATTGCCCTCTTCATACATCTGGGAACATATCTGTATGCAGTGAATGGGGTATAATATTGATGCCTTACATTTGTATACAAATTATAATGTATACACATTAACTATTTCAAAGTACATTATGTATATGCTATTTTATAGTCATAACAATCCTATAATGTAGGTAGATAAGGTAGGACCCCAATTTTACAGTCAAGGAAACTGATGTGAAAAGAGATTTATTGATTAGCTCAAGATTAAACAATCAGCATGCGACAGGGCTGGGACTAAAACCCAAGTCTTTGGAATTTTTACCCCGTGCTATTGCCACTAGACCAGGGGTCAGCAAACTATGGCCTGTGGCCTGTTTCAGAGCTAAGTATGTTTTTTTAACATTTTTTAAAATAAATTTTATTGTTCTTAAGAATTTTGTTTATTTTATTTGTATGTGTGTGTGTATAAAGCCTTTTAAGTCCTTTGCAAACAATAAATTACTCTGTAATTATTACTGCTGCTGCTACCACTACTATTACTACCATACCACCACTTTTATTACTGCCAAATCATTACTATTGCTACTGCTACTACTACTGCTACTACTGTTACTATTACTACTACTGTTACAACTACCACCATCACTTCCACTATTACTGATGCCACCACCATCAACACCACCACTACTACTGCTACTACTACTACCATCACCACCACCATTACTACTACTACCACCATGACTACTACCACTATTAATACTATATCTACCACCACTACCAACATCACTACTACTAGAAATGAACAGATAAGCCCATGGAAGCATTGAAGAAAAGAGTAGCAGTTGATCTGATTACTGAGAAAGGTTTCTCTCTCCTCCTATCTCTGTTTTTGACCTTTATGACTAAAGTTGGAGCACTTTGTCCTCATTGCAGCTTCCTCACAATTAAAGCAAGGATAACTGCTTGCCATTATGTAAGGGATAGTCAATGGAGACTGGAGGTGGGCAGCATTCTTCAGTGTCCCATTAGAGGTATAAAGCTTCTTTCTACCATAGGTGCTAAATAATCTCTGTACCACATTGGTTGGTCCAGCCTCTCCCTGTGACATACATACTTGTTTTTCTTTTGTCTGAAATCATATGACTAGGCATCAGGGCAGAAGCTATTCTGAATTATGGAAGGTAATTGATGGTGTACCATCCTGAAGAAGCAGAAACTAGGAAATGACCTTCATACTTAATTTAGACATTTCCTGTAATGCAGCTGCATCCAGGAACTGCAAATTAATAGACAAGAGAATCAAAATCCCTCATGCCACAGAATAGGGAAGGGAACTGGAGCTGCTATAACAGAATATTCCATGATGGGTGAGATGGCAACACAACCCCTATCTCTCTGTCAGTTGAGCCGGCTCAGACACTCTGAAATCAATAGACTGACTTTCGAGGGCTCAGCCAGCGTGAAGGGAAACATATCACATGGGCATTGGCATATTCTTCTATTTTATGGTCTGAGTCACACAGCACTAACCTCATTTGTCCAGCTTTAATTTTTCATCCCCTCTAGCATGCTTCCCATTCTAAAGAGCTAGTGCCTCATAGAAAGAAGAGAATCCTGTAGTGATTTTCTGCAAATGTGGCTGAGGAAGCACAATAATGGGAAAGGAATGGCTGTGTTGTTTTATTCCTTCCTCTTTTCTCAAATATTATATATATATACACACACACACATACACACACACACACACACTTGTGCGCGCATGTGTGTGTGTGTGTGTGTGTGTGTGTATGTGTATTTATCATAGAAAGAAAGGGTTCTTGATTTGTTTGCCAACCTTCCTGTCTCCAGTATTGTCTCTAACAATGCCAGGTTGTTTAATAGCAAAAGTACTTAATGGCAATAGTATACGTCAATTAAAGATGAAAAGCAATCAATCAATCAGTGTTAACTAAATCCTTACTATGTACAAGGTGCTGTAGTAAGTACTGGGGATACCAACTCAAATGAAAAAGTTTTTGTCCTCAGGGGGCTTACAGTCAAATGGATGAGAAAGCCAAAATTACAAAATCAAGAAAAGAATAGATGGATCTATTATCAGGAACATAATGATCCAAGACAATTCCAAAGGACTTGTGAGGAAAAATGCTATCCATCTCCAGAGAAAGAACTAATGGAGTGTGAATGCAAATCAAAACATATTTTTTAACTTTATTTTTCTTGGATTTTTTTTCGTTGTTGCTGTTCTATGTTTTCTTTTGCAACATGGCTAATGTGGAAATATGTTTTGCATGACTACACATGATCTACATCAAATTTCTTGCTTCGTGCGGGCCAGGGAAGGACAAAGAAAAAGAATTTGGAACTCAAAATAAAAAAAAACCTCATATTAAAAATTATTTTTGCATATAAAGGGAAAATTAATTAAATTAAAAATAAATGGATGGTGGTCTCTGGGAAGAAGGCGATAGGAGATTGCAGGGACTGTAGTATTATAGGAAAAAAGCATTAGGGAATACTATTGTGCTATAAGAAATGATGAACAGGCTGACTTCAGAAAAACCTGGAAAGACTTATATGGTCTAATGCTGAGTGAAGTGAGCAGAACCAAGAGGACTTTGTACACAATAACAGCCATGTTATGCGATGACTAATATTGTTAAACTGTACCCTTCTCAGCATTACAAGGATCTAAGACATCTCCAGAGGCCTCAGGATGGAAAATGCTGTTCACATCCAAAGAAAGAACTATGGAAGTTGAATCGCTATCATTTATTTTTACCTTCTGTTGAGTTTTCTTTCATCTTTCTGATGGTTCCTCCTATTGGTTTAATTTTTACTTACAACTTCACTAATGTGAAAATATGTTTAATAGGAATGTAAATGTAAAGTCTATATCAGATTGTGCACCATCTTGGGGAGGGTGGGGGGGAGGAATGGGGAGAAAAAATTTCAACTCAAAAGAATATGGAAGTGATTGCTGATAAATCAAAATAAATTAATAAAATTTTTAAAAAGTTAAAAAAAAAGAAAAAGCATTAGAAGCTGAATGGTGAGAGGAAGATCTGGAAGAGCTTTCTGCAGGAAATGGCATTTGAATTTAGTCTTGAAAGAAACAAACAATAGTAAGAGGTAGGAAGAAGAGCATTGCAGGCATTGGAGACAGCCAGTGCCAAGACAGAGTGGCATGTGTATGAGGAAAGTAAATAGGCCAATGTACTTATGGCAGAGTGAGTAAAGGGGGATAATATATAAGAAGTCTAGAAAGGTAGAAAGGGACCAGGTTTTGAAAGACTTTAAATACCAACTAGCAGAATTTATATTTGATCCTATGGGATAATAGGGAGTCACTGGAATTTATAAAATACATTTTTGGCTGGCACAAGTGATTTAGGAAAGTCAGTTTGGTAGCTATGTTGAGAATGGATTGGAGTGGGAAAAGATTTTTGACAGGGAGGTTAATTAGATTATTGTGATAATCCAGGCAAAAAAAAAATGATGAGGGCCTGGACTAGAGTGGTTTCTATGTGAACGGACAGAAAGGTGCAGACAACTTGAAGATATGTTATGGTGATAATTGTCAATTTATTGGTTGAGTGAGTTGAGTAATCAAGAAGAGTCAAAGAATGTCATCAAAGTTGCAAATCTAGATGCCTGAAAGATTGGTTATCGTTTCAATAGTAACAGAGGAGAATGGGAGAGAGGGATGGATTTAGGGAAATGTTAATGAGTTCTGCTTTGAAAATATTAAGTTTGAAATAGTACAAAACATCCAGTATGAAATTCTCGAGAAGCAATTGGCTCTTTAGGACTGGTACCCAAGAGATAGACTAGGGATGGATAAATAATTGAGAAATCATCTGCAAAGAGTTTCTGATCTCATAAAGAGATTGAGAAAGAACAATGAGAAGGATGGGAAGAAAACAAAGAGAGAGCAGAATCATGAAAACTCAGAGAGAAGAAAGTATACACAGGGAGAAGGCAGCTAATATATGCTCAGCATAATAGGTACTGGTCTTAAGAACCAATTCTTAGGCAAGATCAACTTCATCCACATTTTGAATCTCCTATCCCAAAATATCTTCATTACATCATCTGAAATGATTCTTTAAGCTGCCAATAATAATTACACATATTATATATTTATTTAGGCTAACAAACTCTCTTCTCAAAATGAAAATACCACTGCGACAATTTATGAGAAATTCATTCAAATGGACTGCCCTCCCCTCCACCTTTCTATTATCTAGCTGAAATAGTTACAATAAAGGAATGGGAATTTCAATTCAGGGAATGTATGCAGAACTTTTTGTGGTAGGGATGACTTACCTAATGAAGGTATATTGCTGCATGATGAGAAACTGTTGGAATAGGACACTAAGAGGTGAAATAGAGGCATGGAGACAAAGAAATGAGGGGACCCAAGATAAACTTCATCCTTTCCAAAATGTTCCCCCACACAGGAAAAGGGGAAGGAAATGTTTTTCTTCTTCCTCTTCTTCCTCCTCCGCTTTCTTATCACCTACTTCTTTGTCTTCTTAATCCTCTTTTACTTTTACCTCCTCCTCTTTGTCCTCTTCTTCCTTCTCTTTCAGATGCTTTTCTTTCTTCTGTTCTCCCTTCTCACCCACTTCCTCCTCTTTCTCCATCTCCTCCTTCCCCTCCTCTTCTTCTTTTACCTCCTCTTCTTCCCTTTTCTCCTTTACCTCTCCTTCATGCTCTTCTTTTAACTCTTCATTCTCTACCTTTTCTTCCACTCTTTCATTTATTTGCTTCTTTCCCCCCTCATTTTCCTTATCCTCTTCTATCCTATTTTGATATCTATACCATAAGGATGCCAGCCCTAAGGACACAGAATTTAAGCGAATATTAATAGGATCATGGCTGAGGTCCATTATGGGTTCAGTGGTCTTTTGTACACTGAATAGAGAACCTTAGCACAATTCTAAATTCTGTTTCTATGGAGAAAAGTGTTCTGAGTTCCAAAGCACCAAAGGACTACAACTTATTAGATATGAAAACCATTGAGATGATAGTATCCAGTTATTTCATTTCAAGAAGATAACCTGATAGAGAGCAGAAAATCCGTGTAATGCAGTGTATTTAGGCCTCTTCATACTTATTATCTCGTTTGTTTCTCACTTTTAGTAACTTAGGGAATAATTACTTAAGCATCTATATTAAATTATTTTGCTTCTACTTATTCACCTCTTCCTCTCTTCCAAATTCTCTATTGCCCGATCTATTGCCTTTTCACTTAATTGAAAAAGCTGTCTTCAAAATTATCAGGGGTCTCTTAATTGGGGACTTTACTAGCCTTTTCTCAGACTTCTTTCTTGACCTCTATTCAGCCAGTCAATAAACATCTATTAAGTATCATGTGCTGGACACTGTGCTAAGGGGTGAGAATACAAAGAAAGGAAGACAGTCTCTATGCTGAAGGAGCTCATAGGCCAATGGGGGAGATAATCTGCCAACAAGCTACATATATAAATATAAAATATACATATATATATATATATACATATATATAAATATATATATGTATATGTATGTATATGTATGTTTATGTGTGTGTGTGTGTGGATACACATATACACATCTATACACCTAAGTATACACATGTGTGTATATATACACATGTAACATACATTCCATATATTTGTGTGTATGTATACACATACACATATGTATGTGTGTATGTATGTACATGATAAATATGAAATAATCAAGAGCCTGAAGGCACTAGAGGGACTAAGAGGGATCAGGAAAGGCTTGCTGTGCTGACCATCCTCTCCTCTTAGATACTATATTCTCTCATGATTCTCCTCAGACTCAGTCAGTGTAGTCTAGTGTAAGGAATAGAGAAGTGCTCTAGGAGTGAGAATGGTTCTAGTACACCTCAGCTATTTGCTAACTATGACTCTGGGAACAGTTTCGGTTTTCTCATCTGTAAAACAGGGGTGGTAATAAGACCTAACTCACATGGTTGTTGTTAGGATCAAATGAGATCATCTATGCAAAACACTTTGAAAACCTTAAAGCTCTTCATAAATGGTTACTCCCACTCTTATCCATGGTATACACACTAATTAGGTCTATTCCAAGACTCTGTCCTGGGACTTTTTTTTTCTTTACATTTTCTTACTTAGTGACCTTATGAATTCCAAAAGTTTCAATTATCATCTCCATAAGATGGCTCTAAGATCTATTTATCCGTCCCTAATCTCTTTCTCTTGAGCTTCAACCTCACATCTCCAATAGCCTATTAAGAGTTTCAGACTGGTTCCCCTATGGAATCTCAAACTGAAAACAGAACACATTTTTTTTTCCCCAATACTCATCTCTCTTCCACACTTCTTTATTACTAAGGAGGGTACCAACCACTCTTTTAGTCGGGTTTACAACCCTACTATCATCCTCAACTCATCTTGCTCAATTTCTCAGTCAATTTCTCAACCTTGTCATTTGTACCTCCACAACATCTCTCTCATAAATCCCTCTCTTTTCATGGACACAGCAAGTACCCTCATTCAGGTCCTCATCGATTCTTGCCTGGAGAACTGAAACAGCTTACTAATTGGCTTCCTTGATTCATCTTACCCCTCTATAATCTGTTCTCCATACAGTAACCAAAGTGCTTTTCCAAAAACACTGATCTAGTCATGTCACCCTACTCTTATTGAATAAACTTGGTGGTTCCTATTACCCCTAAGATCAATATAAATTCCTGTCTTTGATATTTAAAGCCCTTCACAAACTAACTTCTTCCCATCTTTCTAGGGTTTTGTTTGTTTGTTTGTTTGCTTGTTTTACATATTACTTCCTTTCAGGCACTCTAGGGTTCAGTTGTGCTGGCTTCTTGCTGTTATTTTCAACAACATTAAATCTCCCATGTTTATGTCCCATGCCTGCAATGCTCTCCTTACTCACCTCTACCTCGTGAAAACTTGTTTTCCTTAAGGATTTAGTGCAAATTCATTCTTCTGCAGGAGGTACCCCCCAACTACTACATTCTTCTTCTCTACAGTTGATGTGTCATGCATACACCTATAGATGTTTATTTAGTCTTCCTTTTAGACTGGAAGTCCCTTGAGGACAGGGATGATGTCACTTTTTTTTCCTTTGTACCAGTGCTTAACATAGTGCCTGATACATAAAATTGCTCAGTGATTGATTGATGTTATATTGCTTTATATCTACTACTTCCAGACAGACCTAGAGCATCTGGATAAAATTCTCTTAGCTCCTTATGAATGAAACTAAATTTACTATTTATCTATGTAGGAAGACAATATACCTACACCTGAGAGAGAGCCCTCAGTTAGAGAAAAGATTCCCCCATGAAACAGGGCCTTCTCTAGTGTTAACTGTAATGGAAATTTCAATTTCATTCCAGAAAATTAAAATTGGATTTTTACTATAGAAAATAGCATAGCTTTAAAACTCTCCTAAACCTTCACCCATTCCTGCCTTTCCAGTCTTCTTACACTACTTCCCTCCACATACTTTATGATCCAGCAATACTGGCCTCCTTGTTGTTCTCAAAAATAATAGTTTATCTTTAGACTTCACCTTTTCACTGACTATCTCTGTGCCTGCTATGTTCTCCTTTCTTACCTCTACCTAATGGCTCCTGTGGCTTCCTTAAAGACAGATCAAATCCTCCTTTCCACAGAAGGTCTTTCCTTGTCTCCTGTCTACTAATGACTCTTTCTTTCAGGTGACCTGCCATCTTCTCTGTGTTTATCTTGTGTGTACATATTTGCATATTTTCTAATCTTATTGGAAAAAAAAAGTAAGTAGTCTTTCATTTAAAATAGGAACTAATGTAAGATGGAACCATCTCTGAATTGTAAGCAAGTTTCTCTAAGTCTTATATCCTGTCTTGAAGATGCAGAGGCAGTAAGATCATTGAGGAGACTCCTGCAGCAAATGACTTTGGAACTTTGCAGTTCCAAAGTAAGAAAGAATTCTAAAAAATTTAACAGTTCAAATATAACACAGCATTAGCTAAAGGCTTTCAGGTGCTTTATTAACCTGAGAAGATAACTTTGGTACCTAAAGATCAGCTGGATATTCAGCAACTTACTAAAGTGAAATTGGTTACAAATATTTCATAAGTGAATCTCACAAGTCTAGAAGTTTACCAGAAAATCTGTGATAATGGCAATACCTAACATAACTGTATGGGTTAAGGAAAACTAAAACAGATGTCCAGTGTGTGTGTGTGTGTGTGTGTGTGTGAGTGAGCACGCATGTGTGTATTTTAACATGCAGCTCTTTTTGTGCCAGGTAATTTGTTATTTATGGGAAAATGTGTTCCTTCAAGCAGTTACTTAAATTCTCATTATCGTGAATCCTTGCAAGTTTTAGAAACAAAATAAAAAGGGTTGTAACAATAAATATTGATTGCTCCTGTAAATGAGTGTTCATGAGTTTCTTCACAGGTTGAGAAAACAGATCCAATAGTCCCAGGTCTGCTGGAAATTAAATGGCTTCAAAGTCAGTTATTTGGCGATTGGCTGAGCCAGCATTGCCTTTCTAGCAGATCGTTGCTCTGGAGCTTCAAATCTAAATTTTAATACACTTCTGAATGCTTCAGCCCAGCAATCATTTCTCATGCTTTGTTAGAAATTGTATTTGCTAATATTTCCATTTCCCATGATTTAGACTATGCTTGCTGAAAGAATTGTTCAACGTTCAGAATTATTAACTCTGCAATCAAGTAAGAATCATGACATGATATAAATGGAAGATATAATAATTATTGTCAAGTTTTGTCCTTGAAAGGATACTGTACTTTCAAAAATCTGCACTGTAGTTTATTTTTTTCCCTGATACATTGGCTTATTACAATTTAATCAACCATGAAGAGAAAGCATTTTGAAGAGGCTGTAAGATTATTATATAACATATGAACTTTCATCTGAGCCTTCAGTCATTTGCATAATGTAGGTGTTTTAAATATAAGTGTATTTAAAAAAATTTTAGTTCAATTTTATTTATGAACTCGATTTAGATATTCTCAGGTGAATATGCACATATAAAGTTCATATGAGTGTGTACAATATATATTTATGCATGTTTATCTCAATACATACATATGTACATGGATGTTCAAATATATTTACATGCCTATATAAATTTGGAGTTAGGAAGACCTAGATTCAAGTCTTTTCTCTGACACACATTAGCTTTGTGATTGTGGGCAAATCACTTAGCTTCCCAGTATCTTCAGGAAATTTTAAGATTACAAACTGCAGACAGTCACTGATCATCTTCGATAGAGGACTTTACTATACTAGGAGTTCCCTACAAAGCAATCACAGTTCTGAAACCCATCTCCTTCACTAAAACTGCTACTACTATTACCACTGCTACTACTTTACTGCTGCCACCACTACCACTACCACCACCACCTCCTCCACTATTACTACTACAACTATTACCACTATTACTTCTACTGCTGCTGCTGCTGTATCTGCTGTTGCTGTTACTGCTACTACTAGTACAATAAAACAATAACAACAATAACAACAACAACAATAATAATAATAATTAAATAACCCCTGA